AACTTACATATAGTGCCTGTCTGCCATGATTCTCCTTTCTGTTTAAATATGATAAGCACCTTCCTACTGACTTCTATGTAATTCCTGGTTTTAACTTGCAGGATTTAACATTGCGTAAATTTCCATATAGTATTTTTAACAATTTTCACCATCCCCCCATTCTGTCATTTGGTGTGTAAACCAGCTTTATTAGTTTGGTCACTCATACAGTAACTCATGCCGGGAGAAAGTTAACCTACCAGCAAGAAAAGAAGAAAATAAAGAAAAACTTCTGCATTTTTAGATCATTGTCAAAAATAGGCATTCTAGCAAGTTCAAAAGCTCTGCTGGAGAGTTAGGGACTAATGAAAGTTACTCTACACCACCTGCTGCATCAAATTAAATCTGCTGTCTGAGTAATTACATTGTCAGGCTTAACCAGTGGCTTCAATCCCACTTTTTCACAAAATAAGAAGAAATATGGGGAAAAAAAAAGTTATTGGATTATTTAATCCAATTTAATTTATTCTCTTCAATTCCCCTACCGTCATTTTCGTTCATTTGTTCAAAGCATTTTTATAGGTTTAGAAAGACATGACAGAGCTTCTGCCCAGCTAAGAATTTACAGCCTGCTGAACCCTGACTCCTATCTTCACATAGAAGCAATGAGCTTATTTTCCTAATAAAATAATATGTCCATTTCAACAATGTCCTTACACCTCTCTGTATGTTTGGTATTCCTACACTTCACATTCCTAAAGGTCATGTTATAAAATCCTGATTTGTTGTCAGTGATTTCAGATCCATTTCATCGGAGCTCCACTCTGGCACAGTCACTTCGTGGAATTCTTTCAGAGGTTGGCAGGACAGGCTGCAGGCCCTTAGGGACAAAGAGACTCTTCTTTTAGTGCCTGAAAATACCTGCAATGCTTTAAGCACTGTCAAAATACCCAAGAAAAATTCAAACACAATTACTTCTTGCAATGCACGTTTAGCACTGTTGGCAAAGAAAGAAAAGATATGAAATCTTTTTTCTACCACTTATTGGTGTTCCTTCCTTGCTCTGCCTTTGTAGTCTGGTGCAATAGAGTTGTGTGAATATAAAATCAGTTATAGAATGTATCATAAAAAGAAAGATGTCAGATTGAAATATGGAAGGTTTGACACCTGGAAAGTTTGTTTTCTTATTTTTTGGATGACAATTTTTTTATTTTTGTCAATCCCATTGCGTGTTCTGCATTTTTATATAGAAGTGTCAATTTTAATGGAAAAAGCTGTTTGATTAAAAAACTTAAGAGCATCTTTGAACACTTTTACGAACTTTGTTGTTACAGTTCTCTGGAAGTGAAAAATATCCCCAGCTGCCATTTTGCCCCTGAGAAGTAGCAGAAAATATCCCTCTTCCAACAGAAAGCCTGGGAATTAAGCATAGAATCACAGAATGGTCTGGGTTGGAAGGCATCACAAAGATCATCCAGTTCCAACCCCTGCCATGGACAGGGTTGCCCACCACCAGCTCAGGCTGCCCAGGGGCCCCATCCAACCTGGCCTTGAACACCTCCAGGGATGGGGCATCCACAACTGCTCTGGGCAGCTGTGCCAGTGCTTCACTGCTCTCTGAGTAAAGAATTTCTTCCTAAAATCTAAGCTAAATCTCCCCTCATTTAGTTTAAAGCCATTTCCCCTTGTAAGATTGTGTAAAAAGTCTTCTTAAAAAGCTCCCTTCAAGTACAGGAAGGCTAAAATTAAATCTCCATGGAGCTTTCTCCATTCTAAACAAGCCCAGCTCTTCCAGTCTTCATAGTAGAGGTTCTTCAACCCTCTGACCATATTTGTGTCCCTTCTGGGGAACTCCTCGAGCAGCTCCACCTACTTCTTATGTTGGGGCCCCAGGCCTGGACATAGTACTCCAGATGGGGCCTCACGAGTTGCTCTTTAACATCTTTATCAATGATATCAATGACGGAAGCAAGCGCACCCTCAGCAAGTTTGCTGACGACACCACACTGAGTGGTGTGGTCGACATGGTGCAAGGAAGGATGCCATTCAGAGGGACATCAACAGGTTTGAAAGGTGGGCCCAGGTGAACCTGATGAGGTTCAACACGGCAAAGTGCACTTTTTGCACTTGGGCCAGAGGAATCCCAGGCATCCATACAGACTGGAAGGAGCGGTCCTTGAGAGCAGCCCTGTGGAGAAGGACCTGGGGGTCTTGACAGATGAAAAGCTTAACATGAGCCAGCAGTGTGCCCTTGTGGCTCAGAAAGCAAATGGTATCCTGGGCTCCATCAGAAGAGGGGTGGCCAGCAGGGACAGGGAGGTGACTGTCCCCCTCTACTCTACCCTCGTAAGGCCCCATCTGGAGTACTGCATCCAAGTGTGGAGTCCCCTGCACAAAAAAGACAGAGAGCTGTTGGAGAGGGTCCAGAGGAGAGCCACAAAGATGAGCAGGGGACTGGAGCACCTCACCCATGAGGACAGGCTGAGGGAGCTGGGCTTGTTCAGCCTGGAGAAAAGAAGGCTGCGGGGTGACCTCATTGCAGCCTTTCAGTACCTAACAGGAACCTACAAACAGGAAGGAAATCAACTCTTTGAAAGGGTAGATAACAGCAGGACGAGGGGAAATGGTTTTAAGTTGAGGGAGGGGAGATTTAGGTTGGATGTCAGGATGAAATTCTTTACAGAGAGAGTGGTGAGGTGCTGGAACAGGCTGCCTAAGGAGGTTGTGGATGCCCTGTCCCTGGAGATGGCAACCCCGCCAGGTTGGATGGGGCCCTGGGCAGCCTGGTCTGGTATTGAATGGGGAGGTTGGTGGCCCTGCATGTGGCAGGTGGGTTGGAGATTCATGGTCCCTTCCAACCCTGGCCATTCTGTGATTCTGTGATTCTGTGATTCCGTGATTCTCAGGGCAGAGCAGAGGAGCACCATCACCTCCCTGTCCCTGCTGGCCACTCCTCTTTTGATGCAGGCCAGTGTTGGCCTTTTGGGCTGCAGGAGCACACTGCTGGCTCATTTCCAGCTTGTCATTCACTAGAATTCCCAGGGAGGAATTGGCAGGGATGAGAAATAAGTATTGTTCTAAGTATTATCAAAGGCTTAGTGCCTCTAGATCAGTAATATGCGATGAAAGAGTGATTTACTGAAATGGAAAAGTTTTTGTCTTACAGAGACAGAATTGATTAGCTCCATGGCAAAAATGCATTCAACTGGAAGCAGTGGGCAACACCCTCCTATGTCCACTGTTTTTTGAACAGGGTGAAAATTATAACACCATATAACAGGCCTTTATGACCTGTCCTTCTACTATTACATTATTCTCTTTCTCTGTAGTTTAGACACTTTATGTAAACATCCATAATATTGAATGAATACAATATGTTGGCTGCCTGCTTATTGCAAGATCCCTGCCTTCGTACCACACAGTGGTAGAAGCACTGCAGTGGTAGAAAGGTAGAGAAAACTTTGCTTTTTCATTTAAAGTTTTAACTTCTCCTGGAGAAGCTGGCAGCCGATGGCTTTGGACAGTTATACTCTTCACTGGGTGAAGAACTGCGTGGACTGGCAGGCCCAGAGAGTGGTGGTGAATGGGGTGAAATCCAGTGACCAGTCACTAGTGGTGTTCCCCAGGGATTGTTACTGGGACCTGTCCTGTTTAATGCCTTTATTGACGATCTGGATGAGGGGATTCAGCGTACTCTTAGCAGGTTTGCAGATGACACTAAGTTGGGAGGTTCATCTGTATGAGGGTAGGAAGGCCTTACAGGGAAAGCTGGATAGGCTGGACCAAGTGTATGAGCTTTAACAAGACCAAGTGTCAGGTCCTGTACTTTGGTCACAAAACCCCATACATTGCTTCAGGCTTGGAACAGAGTGGCTGAAAAGCTGCGCAGAGGAAAAGTATCTGGGGATGTTAGCTGACAGCTGGCTGAACATGAGCCAGCAGTGTGCCCAGGTGGCCAAGAAGACAAGTGGCATCCTGGCTTGTATCAAAAATACAGCATCCAGCAGGAGCAGGAAGGTGATTGTCCTCCTGTACTTGGCATGGAGCACCTCCAGATGTCCCTTACCTGGTTATTAAATCAGCTCTGCATATCGTGAGCGATAAGGGAGTCCGTGGTGGCTGTGGTTATTGATGCTCTTTGCAGCCTAATGACAAAAATCTAATACTTTCTGAATAAAGCCTTTGGAGCAGCAGCTGGATTAAGTCCAGGTAGGCACCATGGAATTGTGTAGGAAAGCTTTACAAACGCCTTACCTCCTTCAGGTGAACTGTTTTTGTCCTAATCGTGTACAAAAAAAAGGACATAAATCACGCTGCCTGCTTCAAGCACAAAGGCCGCACACAAGTGCATCTGCGTGGTACAGCAGGAACTGAACTCTGCACACCACAATTCCGCAAGGTACGGGCCTGGAGAATGGGCAATAAGGAAACCTCCCGTTATTCTCGCCAGCGTGCGCTGGCAACGCTTCTCTTGCCACCAGTAAATCCGATGTGTTAACGGCTACCTCAGCGACGTGCTCAGCAGTAAGAATTGCGGGGGGCGAGGTGAGGGACAGAAGTGTTTGATGTTGTACTCGACTTTCTTCTCCTGCGCTGCGGGTCTCCCGAGGCGGCTCCGCCCAGCACAGCGCCCGGGTTCAGAGAGCGCTCAGCACCGACCGCTCTGCTATCTGCTGTCTGCTGTCTGCTATCTGCTATCTGCCCCTCACAGGGCTGCCCGCCCGCGGCAAGGCGGCTTCTCCTCAGAGCCCAACGGCCCCCCTCGGCGCACCCACCCCGGCCCGGAGGGGCAGCCGAGCGCCCGCCGGCCCTGAGGGGGCGACGGAGGCCGCGCCGCTGCCCGGAACTGCCCTGCGCGTGCGCGAGGCCGCCCCGCGGGCGCCCGCCCTCCGAGCCGCGCTCCGGCGGCCGCCGCGGGTTCGCGGGCGGCCGAGGCGTCGCGGAGCGCTGGGCGGGGCGAGGCGGGGCGGGGAGCGGCGCCGCCGCCGCTGGCGGGAGCGGCCGCGGGGCGGTGACTGGGGCTGCTTCCCCGGCCCCGAGCGGCGCGTCCGTCCCGCAGCCCCTGAGTCCGCGGCGGGCGTTTGCGGCGGCCCGAGCGCCGCGCCTTCCCCTGCCCCATGTCGGCGTGGCTCGGCCGGGCGGCGCTGCTGCTGGGGCGGCCGGGGGGCCCCGCCGCGCCCTCCTCGTCCTCCTCCCGCCTGGGCTCGCTGCGGGGCCCGCCGCGCTGCTGCTGCCGCCGCCGCCTGGGCTCGCTGCGGGGCGGCGCCGACGGGCTGCTGCCGGCGCGGGGAGCGCCGCCCGGGCGGGCGCTGGGCACGCACCCCAAGAAGGAGCCGATGGAGGCGCTGAACACGGCGCAGGGGGCCCGCGACTTCATCTACAGCCTGCACTCCACCGAGCGGAGCTGCCTGCTGCGGGAGCTGCACCGCTTCGAGTCCATCGCCATCGCCCAAGGTGAGCGGAGCCCGGCTCGGAGCGGCGCCGGGGCCGCGCCGAGGGCGGGCGGGGAGCGGCCTCGCCCCGGCGGGTGGGAGAGCCGGGCCGCGGGCACTGCCGCCTCCGCAACTTCACGGGGCGCTCCGTGAGCTCGGCTGCTCACCGGGAGTTTCCGAAAGCTGCGGGTGGCCATTTTTCAGAACGGGAGAAGCGACGCGCGTCTGCTCGGAAATCCTCCCGCTGCTCGTGCGGCGCTCAGCCGGTTTCGGAGCGCTGAGGAGGATCTGTGCTGCTACTCCAGAAGCTCATTCATGAACAGCGCTGCTCTGCCTGGGAGCGGCTCCCTGTCACGCAGCCGTGTGTGCCGAGGGAGGTCTTCGAGCGCAGTGCTATAGAACGCCAGTTCAGTAATTCGCGCTGATGTGTTATTATTATACGTGTATTTTGATCCAACCCTTCTTTCCAACTTGACGCTTTCCCTTTAACAGATCAAAAACTTGAGCAAGCCAAATCACGTTAATTACAGCCTCAGGACTTGTGGGTGGGATGCTCAGCTGTAATGCAGGGTGCCTTACGGCTGAGGTGACAGCAGGCACCCCAGAGCCCCGTGCTCTGATCTAGGCCTCTTTGTGACTTTGGACATAGCGTGCCCTTGGGAAGGGCATTTCGGTGGCTCCTCACTGCTCTGTGCCTTAAGGAAGCCTCACAGCGGGCAGAAAGCGGCTCAGGGGTCAGCTATAGAGTGCTGCCTTCATGAAGAAGCAGAACATTTCAGTGCTGTTTGCATTACGTTTGCATGTAAACACGGGAGCAAGAGCAGGTCACCGAAGTAGTTCCTTCTAGGAGTTCTGTGGAGTGTAAATTGGCTGTGTTTGTTTTCCAGCTAAGTAGGAAGAGTGCTTTAAGCTGTATGTTGTCCCTAACTTTTGAGTACTAACAACTAACACTCTAAAGGTCCTTTTCAGTGTTTATAAGGATTCTTCCCAGAGGTTTTTGTGCTGGTTTCTCTCTTGGCACTTAGGGCTCAGGTGAAAGCGGGCTGCTTGCAGTGCTTCTGTATCACTGGAGGATCACACTGTGGATATTGCATGTGTTTCAGTGTGGTGTCTCAAGGTCTATACAGAGATAATTCAGCATGTGCCCCTATTAAATACCTTGTTGCTTAGTTGCTGTTAGGTGCAGTGTGAAAATCTGTTTCTGTACAATACTGTGGGGGGTCTGATCACTTAGGATTTGGAAAACTGCTAGAAAAGCATTAGTTTAAAGACATAACTAGGTATAACCTTATTAGTAAACTGCAGACTTATTTCGTAGTGAGAACTGCAGTTCACTTGTACCAGTAGTGGTGATGTTTATCACTGGAGAGAATTATTTAACAAAAGCTCAGTTCTGTGCTTTGTGGTCCCACAGGTTGCTCCAGGTGTAGTAATGCCATTGGACTGCAGTCCACAGAGTCAGGTTTTTTGATCTGCTCAGCTGGTAACTTGATTGTTTGAAAATAGCTTTTTCCTTTACTTTCACTATTTATTCATTTCTTATTTCTTTAACCTGACTACATCATGATATCAGCTGTCACCCTTTCTGTCTGGGAAGTGATTTTTTTCTAAATGTGGTCAACAACAACAAAAAATCATGAACAAGAGCTTTTAGAAAATCTTTTGAATAAAAATTAAGGAAAGGAAAGTCTTAAAACCACAATGTGTATCTCCTGTATGTTCCCTGATACTCTAGAGAACTAAAATCACTTTAAAGGGAGAGGAGAGGAAACAGCACCGGAATCATTCAGTGCAGATAAAACAGGGGCTCTGCATTCTTCAGAGGTACACACAGAGCATGGGGTTCCCTTCTGGGTGCATGTATTGGAGCTAAGGAGGGAAGGGAACTAATGTCAGAGGGTTGGTATTGACAGAATTCAGACTTGATACGAGGAAGGGCGTCAGTTTGCCAATTATCAGATGTACGTCGATGCTCACTGCACCAGGCGGTGATGGAAGCAGACAAAATGAATTTTGTGCTGCACTGGGAAGAAAACAATACGATTCCTGGGCTGGATGATGATGTTCTGTACTTCATACGTGTAACTATGATAACACTTTGAATGCTTGATGTTGCTTGATGTTAGTATGACGACCACAGGAATGTTTTAACTGCGTATGCAGGTTGCGGTTGAGAGTAGCACATGGGGGGGGTTGTGCCCCCACTTTCCAAATACTTTTTCCAGCTCCAATCAACTGTAATCACTTCTGATTTTTACAATCAACTAGTTCAGTGTAAATAAGGTGATTTGATCGATCTGTTTCTGCTCACTCTTCTCATCCTGAGGCAGCATGTAGGAGACTTAAGTAGTGGTTGTTTTAGAACAGCTTGCTAGTTATACTCTTGTGTTGATTTCCAATAAGGTGTGGTCCAAATGCAGCCTTCACGTTTACATTCCTACCTAAGGAAGTTCCTCTGTCCTGTTTCAGTCTGGAAAATCTGTCTTTCCTCAATCATGAAATGCACGTGCAGTTTTGTTGCTCTGTGCACTTGAGCTTGTTATGTGCCTGTGATCTTTTTTACATCTATATGGAAAGTGAGGTCTTAGTCCGTACCCTTCTTAATGTGGTCTTTATTGGGCTAAGTTTTGACCTTCTTCCTTCACTACCTCTTCTGTGCCCTAACAGACCCCATAGCAGCTCGGGCAAGCTGTCAGCAATATGGGGAGATCCGGGCACATCAAGAACCCAGTGGGGCCTGTTCCTCAGCTCATTCGCAGGCCTACCACCAGAAGGAAGCAGTTCCACCATCTAATTGCCCTAGCACGAAATATGACAGGACACACTATCTGTGGCCTCCGCTAATGGCAGAGGCTGCGGGGAAACCCGGCCGCTGTCCTCACTGCTGCGCTGAAGGATGGTCCTCAGGTAGGTGAGCTGTAACCTTTAAGTTAGCTGAGTCTCGAATGCTTTGATACTTAATGCATTTGTTTGCCCTGTAGTCATGTAACTGTAGGTGGGGAGAGGTTTGTGGCAGTGTAGCTTAGAACAGTTCCTGCCACCACACTGTCTCTGTCTTACCTGGAAACTTCCATCTGGATGCTTATTGCTTCCAGGTGCTGAGCACGGGTTGTGGGTTTAAAGTGTAGCTGACAGAGAGCAGCTGAAGCTTGTTGTCATTAACAAGTGCAGAAATGATTCTGTTTGTAGTAATGCTTCGGTCAGAGGATCGAATTGATCTGTGAGCTTGCATTGAAGGATGGCTGTGAAGCTGTACTCACTTGGAAGCCTGATTAAAATAACAGGAGGCTTTTGCATAGGAGTAGCTGGGGGAAGGATATGAAACTGAATCTAGATAGAATTGTTTTTAAAAGGGATTCTGAGAAGCGTTTTAATTGAGACTATAATCTCTACCTTGCTAACTGCCTGAAAATGTAGTCAAAACATCACCAATTTCTTCTTTCTGCAGAAAAGTGCAAGACCTTTCTGCCCGGGTTTAGTTTTCCGTTATCATTGAAGTCTTTTTTCTTTAAGTAGAAAGATGAATAGGGTCTCATATTTTCCCAGGAAGGGTTTTTGAAGTGTTTATTTTAAATTACAACTTGTGCTTGTAAGCATGTCAGCTGGAGCAGATGGAGATGATGCATGTGGATTTGAATCTAAATATTTTGTGTTTTTCATAGTTACAGAAACACTAAAGTAGCAAATTGCCCAATTTCTCCTAACTGTAATAGTGCTGCTTCCCTGTCTGTGGAGGTGGTGCTCCGTGGTTGAGGCTTTGATTTGTTGGTGACACAGTGAAGCACTCCTTGCTTCTTTTTTATATGGGGGAGATGAAAATATAGGGATGGTATTGGCAATGTCAGGAGAGGCTTAATGGTTCTGACCTTCTGTATCAGTTTTCTGTTACAGATGGAGGGGGGTTAGAAGGAAGGAATAGGGTTTATGCTCAGGTTTTCTGTCTTTAGTGTCAATTGTATATTAGAAAATGATTCATGAAAGCACCTTAAAGCAGTGCAGCAAAACTGGTAACCAGGAGGAAGGAGATTTCTGTAGCTTAGGTAAGAAATAACCATACAGTAGACGTGCTGAGGGTGCTATTCTCATCTGTGCTGGTTTAAAATGTTCTCAATCCAAAATGTAACACTTTTCTATTAATAATACTAACACTGGCTACATAGGTACTCTCAGAAATCTCACATTGTGATAAGTGAATGTGTTATTTCTTCATTCTTGCTGCAGGGATGGGAAAAATTCTGTAAGAACTATGTGCAATTCCTTCAGAGCACCGAGCTACATTTCATTATGTGAAATGTTAACTTGGAAAAGGGCCTTCTGAAATGTAATAGCTTGGGTTTTTTTGCTTGCTGATGCTGCCTTAACTGGAAAACATGCAAAAACTTGGTAGTGGTGTATGTATTCTTGTCAGGTGGATTTTGCTGGCTTAATTGACAGGTTTGGAGAATGCAGTCTCTAGCTAGATTCTTTATGAAGGCACTGGCATGTCACATCATAAATAGTTAGCAAATACTCTGACCAAACTGGCACGTTCTGATTGAAAAATGTTCATAATTCCAAGGTAGTGTGTCATGGCTTTGTGAAAAATGTAGCACTGTGAGTGAAGGGCAGTGCTCTGTGTGCAATTGGTCTGACAGCTGTGGCAAGATCTTTATGAGGGTATTGCAGACTTACAATTAGTGTCGGGCAAAATCTCACTTTGGTATCAGAAGAAGCACCTCTGCTTTATAATCTATTATTAGAGCCCAGATGCCACTACTTCCACAACTCATGCAGGGATGTGAATTTGGAAGGCTGTAAATATCATCAGACAAATATTTAACCAAAGTTCTTTAGGTGCGTCAAATGTGATCTATTATGAAAATAATTCCTTTTTTTGTGTGTGATCAGACACACCATGCTGTTAAAAATAAACCAGTTATCTGCCTTTGATTTCGGGAACCATCCAGATCTAAGTGCCTCATTTTGGTACAGCTTAACCTATGTTAATACAACAAAGCATGATTTGAGCTTTCTGGCTTTACTTCTATTGTCTGAAGAGTGATTTCTTTTTTTGTTTTTCCAATGGACAGTGAAGTTTCTTGGGAGGACTGACGGATGTGTGGAGGGAACCAGCCTTGCTAATGCACGCTGACTAGCAGGCACAGTGGCACCTGAGGGGGGGCAGTTCTCTCCTCTGCAGCCTCATGGATGTGGGTGAGCTGAGCTGCATGTGGAGATAGATATCTACCTGCAGTGACCTAGGTCACGAAATGGGTTTTTAGCTTTGGTGTTTGATTGCAATTTTAAGAAAAGGTCCTCTGGCAGACCTGCTGGTAAGCGTGTAATTTGAAGTGCTCCAGCAAGCTGATAAAATGAGCAACTCTTACAGCTTGCCTGTGCACAGTGCCCTTATGCTCGTGGTCCATCACAGCTACACCACGGCAATCGCTGGTCTCACTGCTGAGTCTAAAATACTTCATGATGAAAGAAATAACGTGGTTTGGATGGAAACAGATATTACTTTTTTGCTTCTGAAATTCTTTTCTTTTCCCCTCTCAAACCATTGAGCCTTTTGATGAAGGCAGAGTACGGGAGGAGGAGTGCTGAACCAACTGCTTATTGTTTTCTTTGATGTCTGCAGATGGAATTGTTCTGTTTTCATATGTTGGTCATCTGTGTAACGCTAAATATTTTGTTACCTGTCAAAAACCATTATAAAAAAAATCTCATCAGCCCAGATGTCAATTACTGTTAATATTAAATCTGTTTGCTTGAAACTGATGCCGTTTTTCTAGCAGAAAAGAGAGCAGTTCTGGGTTGGATCGTTTCTGTGGTTGCTCTGACGCTATTTTTCTTGAGACTTGCTGAGGAGAAGGGAGAAATAATAAGCTGCAGTCAGCCCCTTAGCTGTCATATGCTGCTGTATCTACAGTGTTCAGTGTATAAATCCATGGTGGCTTTCCCAGCCTGAGTGTGAAAAGGCAGAGCTCTGCCTGGGAGCTGGGATGGAGCTCAGCCTGGGGGGGCTGTGCTGGGCTCTGCAGGGAGCTCACTGGGCACGTGCCTGACTGGGGAAGAGAAGCTGGAGTTGAGGAAATGACAGGGAGTTCCAGTTCCTTTTATCCCCAGATTGGATTCTTATGAAATGTAGCTAAATTTTCTTCAGATCCTTTTTATGTCCTCTCTCAAGAATATGGTTGTCCAGTACCAGAAAAGGCAAAGTGCTTGGGAAGATTTGTGCTGTGCTGGTTACCTCAGTTGAGGGATTTCATACAGCTGAAATCTAATCGGAAGGTGTGCTGCATTTCCCAAGAAACTTTTCAAGAGTGAAATCACAGTTATAAAAAAAACCCAACTCAAACACACCCCAGAGCAGCAAATGCATGAATGAAATCTCATCTCTAAGATGTACTCCAGGGCATCAGAAAATTTCTTATTTCCGTTCTTCATTTCAGCATTGTTGCGTGGCATTTGTCAATCTGACATTTCCTTAAGCTTTATTACATTTGAATGCTTATGATTTATTGGACTTCCTTTTTTAGTAGCAGAAGAACTATAAACTTAAGTAGCTTAGGAGAGTTTAAATTTTTTATGATGTTGTCATCTCAGTGACCATATAGTATCTTATAGAAGTTGTCAGCCGTGTAGCAAATGTTTCATGAAACTTTAACTTAGAATAAATTTAACGATTTTCTTCTCCTCTATTAAAGCTCAGTGTTTGAGTGCAGAAGCACAGCCACGTGTTCTTGCAGAGGAAAGCCAGCAAGTGCAACGTGTGTAAGACCTAGAGAAACTCGCTCTCCTTGTTTATTCAGGTTCCCTCCTGCTGGCAGACACACTGGGATTGATTGGAAGATTTTAAGTAGTGACTTACTGCCATCTTGCTTTTGAAAACTTTTAGCATCCAGATACCCTAAACCACTGGTACCACTTGAGAAGCGAGCAAAGGAAGTATTGTCACCAGAGATGAGCAGTACTTCTGGTACAGTAAAAAGCTACAAACTACAAGTGTGTTGCTAAGACATGGCATTGCATACGGCCAGCAAGCTGCTTGTTTGACAGGCTTTCTGCTTGCTTGTTTTGATGCAGCTGGCATGTATTGCTATAAGACATAAGTGCTCGGTTTTTGCTTATTTATATTAATATAAATTTGGGACTTCAGTCTTTAAGATATGATTATAATGACTTTGGTCTCAGAGTTATGTGGTTCCCATAGTTCTTTTGGGAGTTACTCTTAATGGGGCTGAAGAAATGCGTCATGTCCTGCTCTTGTGGAAAATCTCTTGAGCTCAGGAATTCCTGGGTAATCTGGGCAAGTCTTCTTATTTCTACATTGTAACAGACTGGAGATCTCAGATTTGGACAGCTCTATTCACTTGGGGAAGCTCAAGTGTTACAAAGCTTACACCTTTTGAAAGTGCCATGCATTGACTTCTGGTCCAAATATAATGCAGAAATAATGCCATTGTTAGAGAATATAATTATTCAATTAACCACCTTTTTCCATTTGCTGTAATTAATGCTTTAGGAAGGTGAAATCTGAGAAGACTGCCCAAATGAAAACTTTATTTTCCAGATCTTGCATGTGTTTAGGCATGTAACATGTGCAAAAATTTTAATGCACAAGTATTGATTTATTTAGATGGTCAAAAAAAACCACTCAAGCCTTGAGCCTATGTTGTTTTTTGACTGCATATGTCTTGTGTAAACCAGTACATTTCGTGGCTACTGGGAGACAGACTTTCCTAGCAGCTATCCTGTCTGGTGTGAGGGCTGTTTTAACTTAGCTTTCTTTCGGAAAGATCACTAAAAATGCAACTTTTACTTGCTAAATAGCTTGAACCCTTCACTGATGGGTTATCTTTCTGTGTATATCCTGTGAACACAGGGGTACTGATTTGGTGTATAGTCTATATTAGAAGAACATG